TGGTACTGAATCTGCCTTGGTCGCCCTGTACGATGACCTGTGCAGGGAGAGAGACAGGGGGAGTGCGTCCCTGTTGGTTCTTCTGGACCTCTTGGCGGCTTTCGATACCATTGACCATGGTATCCTTCTGGATAGGCTAGCGGGATTGGGGGTCGGAGGCACTGCTTTGCAGTGGTTCTGCTCCTATCTCAATGGCCGGTTCCAGAAGGTGATGCTGGGGGACTATGGCTCTGCGCCATGGCAGCTATGCCATGGAGTTCCGCAGGGGTCCATTTTGTCACTCTTGCTATTTAACATATACATGAAACCACTGGGGGAGCTCATCAGGAGGTGTGGGCTGTGGAATCATCAGGACGCTGATGATACCCAGCTCTACCTCTCGTTTTCTACCAATCCAGGTGAAGCAGTGGCTGTACTGAACTGGTGCATGGCCAAGGTAATGGGCTGGATGAGGGCCAATAAACTGAAGCTCAATCCAGACAAGACAGAGGTCCTGTTGGTTGGCAGATCAGGCTTCAGGGAAGGGGACCTGAACCTAGTCCTGAATGGGGTTGCACTCCCTCTTAGGGACAAGGTCCGCAGCTTGGGAGTGCTCCTCGACCCAGAGCTTTCACTGGAAACTCAGGTGACAGCAGTGGCGAGGAGCGCTTTCTTTCAGCTTTGGCTGATCCATCAGCTGCGCCCCTACCTGGAGAACGAATGCGTAGTGACGGTGACACACGCATTGATGACTTCCTGACTTCTGTAACATGCTCTACATGGGGCTGCCCTTGAAAACGGTCTGGATACTTCAATCGGTTCAAAATAGAGCTGCTAGGCTGCTGATGGGGACTGGACATTATGTTCACATGACTCCAGTTCTCCGTCAGCTTCACTGGCTCTCCATTGAAGTCCGGGCCCAATTCAAGTTGTTGGTTATGACCTATAAAGCCCTAAATGGCTTGGGTCCTGGTTACCTGAAGGAGCGCTTACATACATATATGCCCACCCGCCCCCTTGAGATCAGTGGGAGAGGCCCTTCTCCGGGAGCCCTCCGTGAAGGAAATTAGGAGGGTGGGTACTCGGGGGAGGGCTTTCTCTGCGGTGGCGCCCAATCTATGGAATTTGCTCCCCAGACAGGTCTGCCTGGCACTGTCGTTATTTGTTTTTCGGCGCCAGGCGAAGACCTTTTTATTCAAATGTTATTTTAATTGTTAATACTATTTATTTATTTTATTCTTTGGCCAGGGCGACTTAAATTATACTGTTTTATATTGTGTTTGTTTATTTATGATTGTGAGCCGCCCCGAGGCTTCGGCGAATGGGGCGGCATAGAAGTTCTCTAAATAAATAATAAATAAAATAAATAAATAATGCAGTGAGCTTCACATCTAAAAACATAGGAACAGCCATGTTGGGTCCAACAAAGGGTCCACTTAGTCCAGCATTGTGTTCTCACGGTGGTTAACGAGCTGCCCACAGGATTTCACTAGCAGGATATTAGTACAACAGCGCCCTCCCACCCTTGCTGCATAACTGGTATACACAGGTAGAGATTCGAACCCTTGTCCTCCTGATTCATGTCCCAGTTCTCTCAAACTGCAAGAACACAGTTATGTGTATTTGAATGATCTACTCAGAACCTGCTACTAATGAATTGGATGTGAGCCCCAGGCTTATCCAAAGCTTTCTCCCATTTCTCTACAGCGGAAGGTCGAGGATCGCCGCCAGCTCATCATCAGTGAGTTTGAGGAGTTGCACTTGTTTCTGGCAGAGGAGCAAGAAGTGCTGATGCGGCGCCTGGAGAATGAGGAGAAGGAGATCCTGCAGAAGTTGAAGGACAATGTGGCTGAGCTCTCTGAGCAACGAGTCGCCCTCAACAGCCTCACCATAGAGATTGAGGAGAAATGCCTGCAGTCGGGCATGGAGATGCTCAAGGTGTGTGGCTTTGTGTGGCTCACCCAAGGGGAGCTCATACTGCTGGAATGACCCCTATTGTCCACGGCTTCCTTGAGGCCTATTAATTTTCTTGGGTAACTGTGATGGAACTCGATCAGAAGTGCTCCCAAAAATCATTTGCTTCGTCCCATTCCTTGGAAGTCTGATGTGCTTGGCCTGGTGTCATTGGGTAATGATGTGGGAAAGGGAAGGGGGCACTTGGGGTGTCAGGTATGCTTTGGGTTCCATTGAAAAGAGCCCGGGATGAAGAGCAAGTGTGGGGTAGCGATTTGAGTGCTTGACCGGCCCTCAGAAGGTTCAGGTTCTTGTCTGCACTTAGCTGTGAAGCGCATTGGGTGACTTCAGGCCAGTCACTGACTTTAAGCCTGGCCTTCTGGTACTTTTATGTATAGGGCAGAGTATTAAAGTTTTAAATGAAGGAAGGACGGTTGTGAGGATAGAAGGGAGAAGAGGATCATGCAAGTTCCTTTGAGTTCCTTGCAACCACAAAGCCAGAAGATAAAAAATAATAGACAGTCATTGACCACATAACTTGGAGGGCTCAGGGCAGGAATAGCAACTTTGGATTTCTGAGGGATCAGGTATCTGATTTCTAAGAAATCGAGTGATTAGGAGACTTGGAAATTTCCAGTCTGTTACAGGAAAAGGCCTTCTGAAATCCATAACATTGATTACTGTGGAATCTGTAAAGTAGGAGAACTGGTTTACAGCCTGCAGTCCCAAATGCTGTTCTCCTGCTGGTCCCAATCCAGCAATCTGGGCTTCTCCAGATGATGATGTCTCCTTCCCCAGCCTCTTCCCTCAATTCCCAGTCATTTGGTAGTTTCCCAGTGTTTGCCCATCTTTTTTCCATTTTAAGTTATTGCATCATCCTTCCTAAGGCTTTGTCTGGCAATAACTACTTGAAGCTAAAATATGCTAGCTTTTTTGGCCCTGCCCCTTTGCTTTTGTCCTTGTTCTTCTGTGGCCTTGGTCCAATCTACAGCCAGAATGTCGCCTCTAGGGATGTCTCCAAAATCCTCAGAAAGAGAGAGATTCAGGCCCTTTGGTTTACAGCACAATCATGGCCATTCCACAGAGGGTTTGAACTACTTTTGAACTTCTTCCTGGCTTTCCAAGAGAATCCTAGCTTTCATTTTAGCCAACGAATTTCCATGTCTTGTGTTTGTGGATCTGTTATGGTGCATACTGGGTATCTCAGGACAAGTCTATTCACCCTGAAGGGTTTCTGGGTTGTTAGAGTGAGAGAGCCTTATGTATGCCACCTCGAGTTTCTTAGAGGAAAGGTGGAATAGATATGTTCTGCAGCTAAGAATAACCACAGCTAAGGAAACTGAAGCAAATTTAGCTTTTACTCTGGCATGAGAGGAGGTTTAGAGAGAAGAGAAAATGATTTTTTTTTTAAATCACAGATCCTGGTTGCAGAATGTGGGAGGCTTTTAGTGTATGATTGTAAAACATCTTAATAATGAGTGATTTAAAATGTGCTATTTAGCCTTATGCAGATGCTCAGAACTCTTAGCCAGGTCACTGTCAACCCATGTTGCTCTCCACATGCATCCATCCCCACCTGATGTTTGCTTAAGCGTGTATGGGCTGTGAGCCTACTTGCTTATGTCCATGGATATGATCAGTATCCATCTCACAGATGGGAGGCAGGTGCATCGAGCTCTGTCTCTGCAGGCTCCTGCACAGAGAGTGGGATGGGCACAGCACCGAGGGAAACGACAGTCTGATGTGATCCTGAGAACACCCCCATCCCTACTCATCTGTGACACTTGAACAGCTATTTTTGGATGCTGCAGCTGCATGGTGGTGGATGATTTTTTTCCTTTTTGCACAAAATGCAAAAAAGATACAAGTATGTATCTTGTAGCAAATTTGTGGAGTTTTAACTGTTGCATGTGCTTTTCAGGTAATGGATAGTGTTCTGTCGCTTTAGTTAAGGATAGTGCAGCAGGTTCTCCTTCATTACTCTTGTCCAGGAGGGCATTTTTTAATCATTGGGTGGGTCCCTATGTCACCAAATTAATCTTAACCAATTTTACTTGTTCTTATGCAGGATGTGAAGACCACTCTTGAAAGGTAAGGACCAAATTCCTCTTTGGCCACCTCAGTAGTCTAGCTTCTGGTTATTCTGGCTCTGTGGGGCAGGTCTTGCCAGCAGCCGGCTGGGACATCATTGGTCATTACTGGCTTTAAGTTTACAAAGAGTGGCAGCCTTGGATCGCCTCCTAACTCTGTGCCTGCATTCACACAGTTCTTTGTGTTTTAACCCCGTTGGTTTATATGTGTGAAGCAGTGGCATACTCTGTCCTCATGGGCACGTAGCTTTATTATCCTGTTGCAGCTTAGACTTCACAGAGGACCGAAATACCAGCTATGGGCTACCCAAGCAGTTCCAGCCCTGAGCTGAAATATAAACCCAGGACTCTGCTTACAGGATTCCTGCATCAGTGAAGCTTGGCAAACAATCTAGAGTGGTGTATAGCTCTGTGTCAAGCAGCTTCTTTGCATACTGGAGGTCCTGGGACCTTCCTCAACATTTCTGCTTAAACACTTCTGATAGAAGGTGATGGGAAAGACAGACTCTGCCTGAATCCCTGGAAAGTTGCTGCTGTCCAGAGTAGATAATACTGGGATAGCTCATCTGACTGTTGTAAGGCAGCTTCCTGTTACCTATGCAACTGAGCTTACATTTGGAAAAGAAAGTTAGGATGAGCTGAGTTGGGCAACTGGGATGACTTAAAAGACCAAAGGGGATTGTGTATGTGGGCCTAAAAGAATTTCTGCTGGTTCAGACAAAGGTTTATCTAGTCTGGAATTGTACTGTCTAGTCTGGTTATATATTTTTAATCTGCCTAATTACAATTTTTTTGGTGGATTACAGAAGCGAAATGATAAAATACAAAAACCCAAACAGCACAGGAATCAAACATTTTTTAAAACTTAAAAAAAAAAACCCCTTAAAGGCTTGGGAAAAAAGGAAGGGCTTTGCCCAGCACCTGAAAGAAAACAATGTAGGTGCCGGGTGAGTCTTCATGGGGAGTGCATTCCTTGAATGGGGTGCCACAACTGAGAAGGCCCTCTCTCTTCTAGCCAGTCACTTAATTTTCTTTGGCGAGGGCACCAGAAGAGGTTTGAGCAGGTACATACAGGAGACGTTCCTTTAGATGCCTCTGGGAAGACCACAGTCAGCTTGTTCCCAGCATGTGCTGAAGTGAACTGATTCTGAAGATGGAGGTTCCATTCAGTTTAGTAGCAACTCCCAGATGTATTCTCTATGAAATCAGCTATTAAAAATATTTAGGTGTGTGGCAGAGAGCTATGTGGAGCTCTGGAAGATTCCACTCTTCCTCACCAAATATCTGCAACTTTGATCATACTTAGGGTTGGATCATACGATCCCACAAATGGAATTCTGCTTATGGAAAGGATGGTCAGGGCACCCACTACCTGCAATGAGGCAGCAATTTCCACTGGTTCACCTTTCCTTCTGCAGCCTTCTGTGCACCCAGAAAATCTGTTCCAGAGGTTTGGGGGGACCCATCAGAATGTGGGGAACTGCAAGTTGGGGGAGGAGGGATCAGTGAAAATCCCCCTTCCCACGTGCCGTCAGTGGGAGCTTTAATCAAATAAGAGGTCCTTTGGTTCATGGAAGGAACCCTTCCACCATCTATTTGTGAATCAGACCATTGCATGTCAAGTATTTGAGGTCTGGGCTCTTGTTGGCTTTCAAATGGAAGCTGATGGGGGACTTGCGGATGCATGACAAGACTTGACCCAGCCTGCTATAATCCCTTCCTTGTAGGTGCGAAAAGGCCCAGGCCCAGGAGCTGACCCAGGTCTCCATTGAGCTGGAGAAGAATTTCTGCAATTTCCCCAGGCAGTACTTTGTTCTGCGTAAAATAATAAAGAGGCTAACAGGTGTGTGAATGCGATATTACCTGGAGACATTTTTCCTTATGGGGAGGCTTCTGAGGGAGACACTCTTCTCTCCTTCTCACAGGTCGGGCTGTTTGTCCTCAGTGTCAATGGAAAAGCACTGGCGAAGGGCAGAAAGTGGGAAATGAGGATGGGGTATCTGCCCTTAGCAGTGCAGTCCTCTCAGTTTTAAGCATTGAACTGAAAGTGCTCAGTGGCTTCCATCTTATCAACACTTCCCAACTGCAGAAAGGGGAAATGATTTAACCCTTCCCTGCTTCCAGAGTATGTATTGCAGGTGTGCAAATTTCCCCTTCATTTACTTCCAAGCCATTATATTTGCATATATGCCCATATTTAAAAGAGAAATCTGTTTGGTAATAGTATTAACAGCAGTAGTAATTACTCTGAAAAGTAGTTAGCTAAAGGAAGGGGGAGTTGATATCTGCCCTTTGTAGAACAGCTGGAGGCTTGGAAGTGTTGAATAGACGGCAGGCACTGAAAACTCTCAGTTCAACAATTAAAAGTATGGACATTACCTTGCTAAAGGGAAGATAACTGTTGTCCCGCCTTGTGGTGCACTTTCTGTTGTTTCTCCCTCTTTTATAGTTCCTAAGAATTATGGTTCTCTCTGTTGCACCAGATGTTCATAAGGTCTACTATATCTAGGTAGTTCTTCAAACCAGGCATTCAGTCAGTCCTAATTTGACTCAGAAGCTTCTAGCATTTGCCTAGAAGCACTTATATGCAGGGTCCCTGTCCAGACATCTCTGGTGTGCACAACTTCTGTTTCAACACTTGATTGGTTATCATGTTTCACCCTGTTTTCATGGCCTATTTCCTCCCCTTCTGCATTTGAGCAATCAGAAGGTTTTCCATCTTAATCCCCAAGGGACAATTCAACCTGGAAGGTATGTTCCTTACCTCCTGGCAGCTTTCCTCCAGGTCCAGTTTAAAAGCAGCTCTGCCTCCCTTTTACATTATACACAAGCAGTCTGGTTCCATGTTAATTCAAGGGGATCCCATCCCTCTTGCACAGGCCTAGCTTGTCCCAAAATGTTCCCCAGTGCCTAACAAATCTGGAGAACTAACAGAGCGGCAGAGGATGCTCAGAATCCCTTCCCATCACAGTCTTAGAAACATAGAAACAGAGCAAGTCAGAAGGGACCTCCCAGGCCATCTAGTCTGACCCCCGGGCCATCTAGTCTTGACTGGAGAAGTTCGTGTGTGATGGCTTCTTCTTTTTGCATGTGTTCTGCCACCACTAAGAAGTTGGCTCCCACTGCAAAGAACAGGATTTCACAGCTTTAAAAGGCACTTCTGTACTCGAGGGAGGGAAGTGCAAATACTAGCATGTGGATAACCAAAGCCTAGGAAAGGGAGGGGTATGTTCAGTGGATACCTTCTGACTTGGCTGGCCCACAGTGAGCCATATGAGGAGTGGAGGGGATACAGCGATGATGATTAAAACAGAGCACCCTCTCTCTTTCCTTGCAGGAGATTTGACCCTTGACCCTGAGACAGCCCACCCCAACCTTGTGCTTTCTGAGGACCGCAAAAGTGTCAAGTTTGTGGAGCAGCGCTTGCGAGACCTGCCCGACAGCCCAAGACGCTTCACCATCTACCCATGTGTCTTGGCTACGGAGGGCTTCACCTCAGGCCGCCACTACTGGGAGGTGGAAGTAGGCGAAAAGACCCACTGGGCCCTGGGGGTTTGCAATGACTCGGTCAGCCGTAAAGGGGAGACCACCTCCCTGCCTGAGACTGGCTATTGGCGGGTGAGGCTGTTCAATGGGGACAAGTACGCAGCCACAACGACCCCCTTCACCCCACTCAATGTTGCCACCAAGCCCAAGCGAGTGGGAGTCTTCCTGGACTACGAGGCTGGCAAGCTCTCCTTCTACAATGTGACGGACCGTTCCCACATCTACACTTTTACCGACACTTTCACTGAGAAGCTTTGGCCCTTTTTCTACCCGGGGATCCGTGCCGGCCGGAAGAATGCTGCTCCCCTAATCATTCGGCCTCCCACGGACTGGGAGTGACAAAATGACTAAGCTCTCCCATTAGGATCAGTCCTCAGATGTGAAGAGGGAGTTTTAATAACTTGGCTTCTCAAGAGAGGCGGGAGGAGAAAGCCTGGAACAGTAACCTGGGGTCCAAGCATAACATCATGCCCAGTCCAGAAAAATATTCCCCAGGAGGAAAAGTGCTGAGGCTTTGAGCAGACAGCATGTTCCACGGTGGGCTTCACGTTTTCTTCAAGGAATGTCACCGTAGGGGAGGAAAGGAGAAGTTCTCATTAGCGCTTGGAAGGAGCTTCGGAGCAGGCCAAGTTTCACCGGGGCCAGTGAAGAAATCCGTTCCTTCTGTGATCCTAGCCCTTTGATGTGTAGGGGGGATGCCATCGGAGACGACATCACTTTAACCTCGCTGGGTTGTTTGGCGAAAAGCCATACTATTTGCATGAGCTGTGGGCAGAGCGAGTCAGAAGCATGCGTGAGTGTGAGGGCGGCAGCTCCGTGTGCCATTGAGCATGGCAGGGGGATGCTGTGGAGGCCGTGGAGGGAAGCGACCCCTGTGTGAAGGGGTTTGGGTGGATCATTCATTCTTGCATGCACAGACCATGGAAACACCTTGTTCCAATCCCCTGCAGCTTGTTCTTTGCTGGCAGCCAGGGGGTGTGTAGGCAGCCGCCCTGTCCCACCTTGATAGGGTGCTGTCGTGCACAGATATGAGGAGAGAAAGGAAACCAGGCCCAGATTTTTTCCTCTGAGGGACCTCAGTGCCCCTTGAAGGGAGGCCACTGCTGTGGGCCGCACAGTCACCTGAGGTTTCGATACCTGCTGGTGGATCTTGGTTGCAAAGATGAGTCTTGAAACAGAGCTTTGGATTCAGCCCTACAGGGGATTGCTGCCTCATCCTGCTTTTAAGGCCGGAATTCGGGCATCCGTGGTCGTACCAGAAGGGTCAGTGCATGCTACCTCCAGCTCATAGCGGGCAAGCCACTTTTTGTTTTGCGCATGGCAGTTCCTGTCTGTGAGCCACCTGGCCCCAGACCACCGTCACGGCATCCTGCGAGCATCACCTGAACAGGATGTGCTGGGAGTTTTTTGCATGTGGACACTGCAGCAAATGCCACTTGGCCTTCCTCTGCAGGAAGCCACAGCAAGCCAGAGAAGCCGCCACAGTGTGCTGCACATTCCAGTGCAGTGGCCTCAGGTGAGGTTTGAATGTCTTCCAGTAGTTCACATCAGTCAAGAAAAAAGCCCCTTTCCTGCCCGTTTCATGCAGGCGCTCGCTGCAGTGGGCTGTTGGCAGGTAGGTGAGAAGATGCTTTTCATGTAACCTCCCCACCATTTTGGTGCTTGTTAGGGGGGCTGCAGCTAAATGAGTATAAATGAATAAATATAGTTGCCCATTCAGAGTGCAGAGAAATCTGGCTATTTAATGTTACAGCATCATCATGCCACCCATGCAATCCCTGCTTGGCTGGTATTGCCTTAGAAGAAACCCATTTTGTTTCGGGTTTTCAAAGGGGGAAATGGAGCTGGAGCTGCAGACCAATGAAAGAAGCAGCTGTGATCATATGGCCAAAAACGGGAACTGGAGGGGTGTGTGTGAGTGAGTGAGTGACATCCATGATACGTCATGACTGACTTAAGCCATAGCATCTGTGGGCTCCAAACCTTCTAAATACTCAACTCCTGACCAGGGGGTACAATGTTGGGTGAGCCTGGCCAGCATGGGATACGCAAGGGCTAAGCAACCCTGCTATAATCCTAGAACAGGCCTCTGTAGCTTGTTTACCCGCACACAGGCGTTAAGCGATGGGACAGCATATAAAAACTCCAAATAAATAAACCCCACCAGCCCGGTGTACCAGACGTAGCAAGCAGGGGCTGCACCTGCAGGATGGCATCCCCAGGTGTTTCAATTAATAGTCCTGATTTAATTAAGCCAACATGAGCTTTGTCATGTGAAGAGCCCCTATGCTTGTATGTACCTCTTTCTCCTGCCCCCTTGCCCGTAAAGGTCCATCCGAAATTTTAGTGCAATCACATCCTAGGAGATACTGTTGGACCTAGCTGAGAGGCCAGTGCTATGTCCCATTTAGTTAAGAAAGCAGTAAATGAAGCAGAAGAGAAACACATGGAAGAAAAGCAGAGCGGTTTTAACCGGTTTTAAACTGATTCCAGAGGAATCCCATTATTTCATGAGGCGACTAAGGGCACAGTTTTACTGTATGCATCCTCAGTGCTTGTAACACTCAAAAATCAGAGGCTTGCAAGCATCCAGTGCAGAGTGGGAGAAGCAGCAGAGGCCATTTCACCCTCCCCACATCTCGACTCTGCATTTCAGCTGCTGAGGTGCTTCGGGGAGGGAGGGAAGGCAGCCCCAGTGGCCCCAGAATACCACCTTCAACCCTCTCCAAGACTGAATTCCTCACCTCAGAGTGGCAACTTGCCTTTGTTTGCTCTGCACAATCTGCAGGAAGCTTGAAGCACCGTCTCTGACTTCAGATCTGACAGGGATCTGGATTATCCTGTGGCTGCCCAGATGATGTCCAGGGCTGCAGGATCATTCCTTAAGCAAGTACTTCAAAAACTGCATGGGAACCCGGCTAGTTAATACAAGGGTTGTTTTAGGAATTACCACAGCACTAAACTTTTGACTGCTTCCCAAATGCAGTGCTGTCTTAAATTTTTTTAACGATTTTCAAATTTTAAGATACGTGAGAAAAACAGGCAAGATTTGTGTGCAATAAGAGGAGATTTTGTGTTTGGCTAATCCCCAGACTTAACTAATTGGAGTGGGAGAGAGCAGTTGGAGGCCTGCTTCAGTAGCTGAAGCACGGTTGGGTGTCTAAAATGTATGTGAGGAGCATGCACTTGGGAGTAGAGTGCCTGCAGCAGACCAGGATTCAGATGCCTTTTCAGCTGGATTCCTGCTGAAGGCCCTTTCAGCCTCTCCAGGACACTGGGCCATGCTGGCTGGGTGCAGTGGAGCCACAAGGGAGGCAGGTGGGGAATGCTGCTCTGGCTTCCAGGTTGGTTAGGGTAAGCAAGCCCCTCCCAGGAATGCCCTGGTGAGCCTCATTTAAGTTTTGCTGGCCAACAGGGAAAGGAGGATCAACAGGTCTGTTAGACTGCTCTTACATGATAATGTCCCGCAGTTGCACAGTTGGCTTTGTATACAGGTGTGTGCGTGTGCGTGTGTGTCTATACAGCTGAGGACACTTTGGTTTGGGTACGTCAAGCCCTGAAATATGAGTTGGCTGGGAATTCTTTGGCAACCCACAGCTTTAGTGCAAGATACTTGTGTTATGGCTTTTTAAGTTAATAAAATCTCCTGTTTTGATTGACAACAAGGTGTTTGTTTTCTTCACCACAAATCTGACAAGGAGAAAGGTGGGCTTATCCAGCTTAGAAATGGAAAGAGTCAGGGTTACTGGGGTGTGTTGGCATGGGTGCTACTTGCCAAGATTGGTTTCGCACGAGTAAGATAGAAAACTCCCTGTCATATTTAATCTCAGGAACAAATGAGGGAGTGAAATAAAAGGAAGCTGAAATATAGAGAGGATCAGGTGCTTGTAAGAAATCATGGTGATTGTTTCTAAATACTGGACAATCCCAATTAAGACATCTTAGACAGGGGTAACCCCTTGCAAGGATTAAACTCTGACAAATCAAATGTAAATTTACAATAAAGTAGACCAAGAAGGTAAAGGCATAGGGATAAAGTATGCTTAACATACATCAGAAGCTGGAAACTAACGTAGAAAGGGATTGGTAAAGACAATGGTGTAGATGAGAAGCATCAAGCCAAGGTAGGAAAACTTAAGTGGAATTAAATCCTCTTGAGCTGGGCTAACATTGCTGCTGGGCAGAGTGAGGCAGCCACCTGAAACTGCAGGCTCTGGCAGAGGCATGGCACAAGTCCATAACTGTTTCTCCTGAGTCCCATGGCCTTTCTCCCTATGTTGGAGGATAGATCTGAGTGCACCATACAGTCTGAGCTGGGCCTCATAACTAGCTTGCTTCAGGTGCTATGGAGGTCACATTACCCATGCTGAAGGAAGATTGAGATGCCCATCCCATCTGCTGCACGTGGTATATGGATCTATCATCTGGCTCCTAGCCTCAGCCATAGACCTCCTTGGACCTGCCCTGTACGCAGCTGTGGCTGCATCTAGGGATGCTGGGGCTTTGTGCCCTCCTTGTGGAACAGCTAAAGCATCCATGGCAGCTAGAAGAGGGAAGCCCTGGAAATTTAAAAAATGGCACAAAGCAATGTACTGGGGACCACATATATCTGCCTGAATGTTTTGAAAGAGTGTGCATTTGCAGACAACACTGAAGAATGTCAGTTCTGTGATAACCAGCTTGCTGGCTCATATCACCTGCTGAAATTTGCTGAAATGGAGTGACTTGCTTATGGAACTAAAGAAATGTCTTGATTAGCCAAAGGAAAGACTGTATCTTTCCACTAATCCTGCTCCTCACACAGGCACTGCAAAGTATCAGGCAGTCCTCTTGTTAGCCTCGTTCTGGCCACAGGAATGATTGTTCTCTGAATTCCTATTCCTGGCACATCAAAGCCCATGGGTTTCCCCTCAGAAAGCAGCCCTCCTATCGCAGAGCCCAATTCTTCACCCAGATCTGGGATGACCTCCATTAGCTGAATGGCTTTTGAAAGATCTGTTCCAAACTAGGTTAGAAATGCCAGCATTGCACAAAGAATCCACACTGCACATAGAAGCCTCTCCAGTGTGCAGGCTTTCACTTGGTGGTGCAGGAGAAAACAGATCAATACCCAAAGAGCAGGCATCAAAGCACTTCTCCGAAGCAGGACATTTACAATGGAGGAAGGAAATTCTGGGACCGCCCAAGGACGCGTGTTGGTCACAGTGCTGTTGAACACGTTAATACGTAATCTGGGCTTTTTATGTGTACAAAAACCCCAAATTGCAATGCTCAAGAGGTCCAGAAGGGTCTCCTCAAATGGGGTGATGGGGCAATAGGAAGGCAGCTAAGATTCAATGTGAGTTTAATGTGCGGCAAAACATCTGCACTTCACAGGTGTTACTGGAATCTGAGCTAGTACTTCTCCCAACAGAAAAAAAAAGATGCTGGGCTTGTAGAAAGATCTCAGAAAATGGCAGTGTGCGTTGAAAAAGACAAGTCCAGTATTGGGTGGCGTTAGGAAAGGGACTGGAAATTTTACATCATCATGCTAGTTTATAAAAGTGGATCTCACTGGAAATATTAAGCAACATGTGGTAGTGGCTTCCATGGATGTCCAGACCATGTATCTGCCTTAATACTGATTTTCTAATTGTCTCAAATCTAACAATGAACTCCCAGAGATAGCTTCCCAGTGTTGTCACATTATGTTGCTTTCCATTTCAGTTCTCTCCACTTCCAAGATCACTTATCCATGCTGTTCAGGTAGACCCTCTGCCAATAAGGTTTGCAGTACCCATTTGCTCTCTTTGTCGATCAAATGTTTGGGATTAGTTAATGGTCTGAGAAGGACACTGGGGTTGTAATGGCAAACTCCTTGTTCTTATAGAATTAATGGAATGTTCAATTTGATCTGTTCATTAAATCCATTTCTGTACAATAGCTTAACTGCAAATGACTGTTCTTGGTACTGGGGTAGCCCTGATAAGTTCTTGGCTTTGGTACATCTCCATACTTTCTAGCCTGTATAGTCAGCTGGTTGGTTGATCAATTTATTGATTTTTACATTTGCGTGCTGCCCCATGCTTCAAGTGGAGTCCCTGCATGGCTTACAACACTTAATATTTCACAATCATTATAGAATAAAACTAATAAAAGCAATCTTACACGCATGCAGTAATACAAACAAATAGCAAAAACCAACAATAAATAGGTCATTACAATAAATCCACAATCTCTACTGAGGGCACAACCATAACATGATAAAGTATTGCAAACATTAAAATTAGTTGTTAAAATTTATTGTTAAAATGCCAAGAAAAGAGAAATGGTTTTTGCCTGGCGCCAAAAATAGAGTCATGTTTCTCTGGGGAACTCCTTCCATAAGTGGGGGGCAGCCACCAAGAAGGTCCTTCTATTTGCCATCCCTCTCACCTCCTTCAGGGATGACTTCTTGAGAAGGACCTCCTGCCCAGATCTTAGTGGTCAGGCAAGTATATATGAGAGGTGGTGGTCCTAAGCCGTTTAGCAAGCACTTTAAATTGGGCCAAAAATATCACAAGTCAATTGTTTATGGCATCAACCACAAAGGGTTTTGTGACACCTTACGGAGCTGCAGATTATTTTGGCATGAACTTTAATAGACTGCAGTCCACTGCATCAGATGCAGGGAGTCTTATCCTGAGTTACAGGTTTTATATAGAAAGTCCATTACAAAACAGTCGTGGCACATTTACGGACTAAAAGAAACAACTGCAGAACAATCTCGTCTGGTTCCTTGGGGATTACTTGGTTCCTACTCAGCAAAGGTGACCAACTCCTGTCCTCCTGCCCCTGCGCAAGATATTCTGCACATCGGGCTTCTGTGCCCAGGCACGGCCCAACGGTATCTGTGCCCCCTCCAGGTAAGGAGCTGGAGAGAGAACAAGGCGCTCTAAGGGGCCCCCACTGCTGTTGCTCCTCCTTTTCTTCTCATCACGGTTGCCACTGGCTTGTCTGACAGGCAGCGAGCAAGGGAGCAAGGAGGCAGCCGTATCTGCTGGCCCTCCTCCTCAGCACCGCCATTATTTGGACCACAGCAAGAAGGAGGTGAACAAGGAAGGTGCAGGCATGAAGAGGAGAAGCCACTCCAGGGGCCCCTCATCCGTAGGCCCTCAGCGGGTGCCCGACCATGTGTACCCTTGTCACCAGCCTCTTTGCGACTGGAGCTGGATGGGAGGTGAGGAACAGTGCGTGCCATGCTACAACGTGATCCAGGTCTGGGGGGACGTCCCAAGCACCCTGAACTATTACATTGGTGGCCTCAACAGTAAGTTAAGGCATCATGCAGCAGCTCTAAATACCTGAGTACCTTCCAGTGCTTCCAGATGTGACATCTATGGTGCAGTTGCCCTGCCTGATGCATGGAATGAATGACATGTCCAGACAACGGTGCCTTCCATTGGTCGTCCTCCCAAGCTCTTCCTTTGCTTCTTTGGTCCCGTTTCTCCTCAACACACAAGATCTATCAAGGAGAGAAAGATGGAGTTGCACATTTGCTTGATAGTGCTAGGAACCCTCTGTCTGGAATGATCTGAACATGGGCACACTTATTTGAGAGCTGGACTCTAACTGTGCTTACTCCCCTACACCCCGCAGTTCACATTAAGTTGCATCACTCAGTGATGGCCCTGTGTAAAACATGGTGTGTTTTTGGGAACCTCACTGTTGTGGATGCTGATTCTGGAGCCAAATGCAAACACCTCAGCTGGCCGTGGTCGAGGGAGAGTCAGATCACATGGAAAGTTGTGGTGGCGCTGGCATGCTGCATCCCTTCTGTTGCTCAGACATGCACTGTGGGATGCTGCAATCAGCACCCCCCCCCCCAGTGGTATATGAATTGGCCTAAAAGCTGTGCTTGAGAGAAAAGCCCATCAGTAATGTGAGTAAAGGAGGAAGCGACTTGAAGTCCTGAGCAAGGAAGTTTGATTCCTAGAACATGGCTAGTTTTGACATCAGGGATGGGTAATGCGTGGCCCTCCAAATGTTGATAGACTAAAACTCCCATCAGCCCTCTGGCTATGCTGACTAGGGCTGATGGGAGTTACAGTCCAGTCCCTAGAATGCTTCCCATTCCTGTTGCAAAGGGAATGCTATCCATGTCAGGATGCAACACTGAGGGCTACTGATTTGGTTCTTTAAAATAATCCAATTGTTTACATTGCATTTAATGTTATCTTAGCTATTCAGAGCAATTAAATCCATGCAAAATGATTATGTACCCTTGATCTATTACCATAAGGTGTCTCTGAATTAAATTGCATCCCTTCCACCAACCTTGAGTCTGCTTGCATCAGTCCCAGTGTCAGCAAACACTTCTACAGAAACCTGAAGGACCTGACAAAGCCCATTTCTGGTTTCTGCAAGCTGCATTCTTCACTTGGCCAGGAGGTAAGTTCCCCACCTGCAACTCAAGTAGGAGCAGACAGGGCACGAGAGATCTTCAGGTTGCGCTGAATTAGTAATTTCTAACTCTCCATCCTTGACTAGATCACCTCCCTCATTCTTAAGTGGGTCAAAATGAGTGTCTCACAGGGATTCTTGTAATGAGCTGTGTTTGCTGAAGCACAGGTTTCTGGCTATTATTTTTAAACCACATACAAGTTTCCAGGTACTGAGTTGCATCAATCTAACATTCATGGATTAT